TGAAGGTCTGGCGGATGCCTCGTGCACGACAGTAGGCTCGCAGAAGGCCAGAGGAGAACTCTCCACCTCTGTCAGAGTGCAGACGCAGAACAGGAAAGTCCGAGCCGAAGCTCTGCCTGAGCTGGAGACGAGTTGCGCGGATCCAGTCGATCAGCACCTCAGTGACATCACCCTTGCTGCGCAAGGGGAAGACTGTGGTGTAACGCGAGTAGTCGTCAACCACCAGCAGGAAGTAGCGCTCGTGACCCTGTCCACGGACGCGGGCCGGGCCCCACACGTCCATGTGAAGCGTCTGCAGCGGGGCCTCTGTCGGAGGAAACTGGGAGGAGTGAGGGGCAGCACGCTGCCGCCCCTCGACACAGGGGACGCAGGTAGGGCCAGGCCCCGGAGGAAGGGGAGGGAGGGACCGGGGAAGACCAGAGACAAGGACACGGGAGGCCATGCCTCGGAGACGAAGCAGGGAGGGGTGACCAAGGCGGTGGTGCCAGAGGAGAGTCTCGTGAGACAGGAGGCGACACGAACAGGGGGCAGACTCATGACCAGACCTGGACGCTGCAGCAAACACCTGACCCGACGCAGCTACCTGACCAGACGCAATGACTGGAGGAGACGCAGTGGTCAGTGTGTACAGGCTCGACCCCGGCCGACGTGTAAACGTGGCCAGGTGTCGGCCTGTCCGAGCGTCCGTGCAGTGGGTCACCCGCTGACTCGCAGGAGTGAACTGGTGAACCCCCGCATCCTGTAGGTCAGCACCACTCACCAAGTTCGTAGAGAACGAGGGGAGGTAAAGACCAGACAGGGTGCCAGAGGGGGCCGCCGGACACGGGAGGACAGTGGAGAAGTGAGCAAGGACAGGACCCCCAGAGGGGTCTGCCAGAGAGACTGCAACTGGCCGGCCAAGCGGCGTGAGTGTGGTGCGGTCTCGAAAGAAGGAGCGAGAAGCCCCCGAGTCAAGGGTGAAGGTGTGGGAGGCCGAAGCCGACGCAGTACCTGAGAGAGCAGACGCACGAGCACCTAGAGCAGCAGCCTCGCTAGCACCTAGAGCAGCAGCCTCACCAGTACCTAGAGCAGCAGTCTCAATGCCCGGGTCGGGCGGAAAACACTGGTAACAGTCACCCTCATCACTAATAGTCACAGCATACATGGCAGCAAGAATAGCATCAAAGTCAAGGTCAAAGACAGCTACACCCGCCCTAGACAGCTCGCCCCAGCGGGGGATCTCAGTGGCCTCAGGGAACTGGTGACACCAAGCGTCCGTCAGGCGGCCAAAGCAGCGCTGGGTGGAGTGCGCACCCCCGCACTGCTCACCCGCGCGGTCGCCGGTGCGTAGGACGTAGGTGCACGGACCAGTACCCCCACCCCGCTGGCGTGCAGCGTACCACTCACGGAGCTGCTGAGGGGGGGGGATGTCACGAGTGCGCTGCTGCCACTGCTGCTGCTGCTGCTGGCGCTGACCACCACCGGAGCCGACCCTCTGCGCAGCGCCACCCCGACCAGCTCCACCTCCTCCGCCGCCGCCTCCTCCACCGCCGCCACCTCCGCCACCTCCGCTCCCACCGCCACCGCCGCCGCCGCCTCCGCCTCCACTGCCGCCACCGACACCTCCACCCCCGCCACCACTCCCACCACCACCCCCACCCCCTCCACTGCCTCCACCGCCACCTCCGCCACCCCCGCCAGCCCCTCCAGCACCCTTGCCCCCCTTGCCCTTGCCGGTGCGGCGTCTCCCGCTCGGGGCAGACGCAGCGCCGAACGACTCGAAACCAACGAGGTCGGCCGCAGCAGCAGAGGCAACAGAGGGCAAAAGGGGGGAGGGGGAACACCCCTCAAAGACGGGGGTGCGAGGGTCACCACGAGAGGCTCCTACAGCGACTATGCTCTTCTCTGCTGCTAGGAGGGCCTTCTCGAGGAGGTCAACGGTGAGAGTGGTGGGGCAAACTGAGAGGAAGTGGTCCCTGACTACGCGAAGGGAGTCAGGGAGCCGGGTGACTATGTAGTAGAGGGTGATGTACATGGGGGGGGGGTTCTTGGCGCAGAATTCAGCAGGAAGCGCAGCGCGGTAGCGAGTGTCACTAGTGCGGAGGTGCGTAATGAGGTCAGCGACTGTGGGAAAGGCAGCAAGGTCAGGGAAGAGGTACGGTAGCATGAGGCGGCTTAGTGCAGCAGTGGCAGGGGAGGAGTAGCGCGCAACTACAGCGTCGTACAAGGTGTGAGCACTCTTGTACTGGCTAAAGTGCGCACGCTCAGAGGTAGGCAGGTGGCGACGCACAGCAAGACGTGCAGCAGCATCGCGTGTGGCCCACTGTGAGCGAACAGTGGCGTCGGCATCAGCAGCAGGGGCAGGAGAGGCACCAGAGGTGAGGTCAAAGAGGGAGAGACCGTCTGCCCTATCGCACTGTAGGAAAAGCTGCAGGTCATCTACCCAGACGTCAAAGTCAATGGCCCGACCCTCAGCGTCAAAATCGAGGACACTAGGGGTAGCCATGACAGCAGTAGACTAGCAGCGCGAACAGTAGGGTAAGGGCAGTGCAGTGATAGAGGCGCTGCTCTTACCGGACAGGGCGGCTCGGGCGGCTCGGCGGCTCGGCGGCTCGGCAACTCGGCGGCTCGGGCGGCTCGGCGGTACGGCGGCTCGGCAGCAACTGCGGCTCGGCGACTCGGCGGCTTGGGCGGCTCGGGCGGCTCGGCGGTACGACGGCTCGGCAGCAACTGCAGCTCGGCGGCTCGGCGACCCGGCGGCTCGGGCGGCTCAGGTGGCGCGGCGGCTCGGGCGGCTCGGGTGGATCGGGCGGCTCGGCAGTAGCTCGGCGGCGCCGGCGGCTCGGTGGTGACGGCGGGGCCGCGTGGGGACGGCGGCGGGGCCGGGTGGAGCGGCGTCGGGGCCAGTAGAGGCGGCGCCGGGGCCGGGAAGGGCAGCTCCGGGGCCGCAGGGGTAGGCGACGGGGCCAGCAGAGGCGGCGCCGAGGCAGGGAAGGGCGGCGCCGGGGCCGCAGGGGTAGGCGACGGGGCCGCTAGGGCGGCTAGGAGGGGGGGGTCGTGAGGGCGGCTTGAAGAGGCCGCGAGGGCGGCTAGAAAGGGCCGCGAGGGCGGCGTGAAAGGGCCGCGAGGGCGGCGCGACGCGAAGGAGCCACAAGGGCGGCGGATCGGGGCCGCGAGGGCGGCGCGACGCAGCCGCTAGGGCGGCGCGACGTGAAGGGGCCGCGAGGGCGACGCGACGGGGCCGCAAGCGCGACGCGATGGGGCCGCTAAGGCGGCGCGACAGGGTCGAGAGAGGAGAGCGCGACTCGGGCAGTGTAGAGCGCGCTCCGGGCAGGAAAAAAAAAGGTGGTGGGCCCTAGGAACAGTTCCCACAGGGGAACCTGCTCGATACCATGAGAAACTGAACGAGAATAGATTGACTAAGGGAAAGTTGGGTACAAATGCAAACCCTAGAAAACTGTACCCCATATGTGCTACCCCACTATAGCCTACAGTAGCTATGTCATATAAATCTGACACTGCCGACAAATGCTAAGGAAGCGCTCGGATCCTTTTAGGCGTAGGGAAAAGAGTCGAACGACCTGAGTGATGTTGCTTATTCGGGTGACCCATGTTCAAATACACCTACCAGAGCAATTCCAAATTGGTTCGCGCGCACAGAAAATTTCGGTGCCTGCGATGACGGCCGTGTCTGCCGACAAATGCTAAGGAATCGCTCGGATCCCTATAGGCGTAGGGAAAAGCGTCGAACGACCTGAATGTTGTTGCGTATTTGGGTGGCGCATGCTCAAATATACCTACCAGAGCAATTCCGGCTTGGTTCGCGAGCACAGAAAAGTTCGGCGTCTGCGATGACGACCGCGTCTGCCGACAAATGCTAAAGAAGCGCTCGGATCCTTATAGGCGTAGGGAAAAGCGTCGAACGACCTGAATGTTGTTGCATATTCGGGTGGCCCATGCTTGAATACACCTACCAGAGCAATTCCGGGTTGGTTCGCGCGCACAGAAAAGTTCGGCGCCTGCGACGACGGCCGCGTCTGCCGACAAATGCTAAAGAAGCGCTCGGATCCCTATAGGCATAGGGAAAAGAGTCAAACGACCTGAGTGTTGTTGCTTATTCGGGTGGCCCGTGCTTAAATACACTTACTAGAGCAATTCCGGCTTGGTTCACGCGCACAAAAAAAGTTCGGCGCCTGCGATGACGGTCGCGTCTGCCGACAAATGCTAAGGAAGCGCACGGATCCCTATAGGCGTAGGGAAAAGCATCAAACGACCTGAATGTTGTTGCATATTTGGGTGGCCCATGCTCAAATACACCTACCAGAGCAATCCTGGCTTGGTTCGCGCACAAAAAAGTTCGGCGCCTGCGATGACGGTTGCGTCTGTCGACAAATGCTAAGGAAGCGCACGGATCCCTATAGGCGTAGGGAAAAGCATCAAAAGGCCTGAATGTTGTTGCATATTTGGGTGGCCCATGCTCAAATACACCTACCAGAGCAATTCCTGCTTGGTTCGCGCGCCTAGAAAAGTCCGGCGCCTGCGATGACGGCCGCGTCTGCTGACAAATGCTAAAAAAGCGCTCGGATTCCTTTAGGCATAGGGAAAAGAGTCGAACGACCTGTGTGCTGTTGCTTATTCGGATGGCTCATGCTTAAATACACCTACAAGAGCAATTCCGGCTTGGTTCGCGCGCACAGAAAAGTTCGGCGACAGCGATGACGGCCGCGTCTGCCGACAAATGCTAAGGAAGCGGCTCCAAACATTTGTCGGCAGACACGGCCGTCGTCGCAGGCGCCGAACTTTTTTCTATGCGCGCGAACCAAGCCGGAATTGCGCTTTGAGTCGACTCACAGGTCACGTGAGGCAGAGCGACAAGGGCACTGAGATGGAGAGGTGCGTGGGGCTCAATACGACACAGAGATGGAGGCGCGCTTTGAGTCGACTCACCGGTCACGTCACGTGAGGCAGAGCGACAAGGGCACTGAGATGGAGGGGTGCGTGGGGCTCAATACGGCGCAGAGATGGAGGCGCGCTTTGAGTCGACTCACGGGTCACGTGAGGCGGGGCGACAAGGGCACGGAGATGGAGACGGAGGGGTGCGTGGGGCTCAGTGCGGCGCCGAGATGGCGATGGAGGCGCGCCGCCTCGAGTCGACTCACGGGCCACGTGAGGCGGGGCGACAAGGGCACGGAGATGGAGACGGAGGGGTGCGTGGGGCTCAGTGCGGCGCCGAGATGGCGATGGCGGCGCGCCGCCTCGAGTCGACTCACGGGCCACGTGAGGCGGGGCGACAAGGGCACGGAGATGGAGACGGAGGGGTGCGTGGGGCTCAGTGCGGCGCCGAGATGGCGATGGCGGCGCGCCGCCTCGAGTCGACTCACGGGCCACGTGAGGCGGGGCGACAAGGGCACGGAGATGGAGACGGAGGGGTGCGTGGGGCTCAGTGCGGCGCCGAGATGGCGATGGCGGCGCGCCGCCTCGAGTCGACTCACGGGCCACGTGAGGCGGGGCGACAAGGGCACCGAGATGGAGACGGAGGGGTGCGTGGGGCTCAGTGCGGCGCCGAGATGGCGATGGAGGCGCGCCGCCTCGAGTCGACTCACGGGCCACGTGAGGCGGGGCCACAAGGGCACCGAGATGGAGACGGACGGGTGCGTGGGGCTCAGTGCGGCGCCGAGATGGCGATGGCGGCGCGCCGCCTCGAGTCGACTCACGGGCCACGTGAGGCGGGGCCACAAGGGCACCGAGATGGAGCCGGACGGGTGCGTGGGGCTCAGTGCGGCGCCGAGATGGCGATGGCGGCGCGCCGCCTCGAGTCGACTCACGGGCCACGTGAGGCGGGGCCACAAGGGCACCGAGATGGAGACGGAGGGGTGCGTGGGGCTCAGTGCGGCGCCGAGATGGCGATGGCGGCGCGCCGCCTCGAGTCGACTCACGGGCCACGTGAGGCGGGGCCACAAGGGCACCGAGATGGAGACGGAGGGGTGCGTGGGGCTCAGTGCGGCGCCGAGATGGCGATGGAGGCGCGCCGCCTCGAGTCGACTCACGGGCCACGTGAGGCGGGGCCACAAGGGCACCGAGATGGAGACGGAGGGGTGCGTGGGGCTCAGTGCGGCGCCGAGATGGCGATGGAGGCGCGCCGCCTCGAGTCGACTCACGGGCCACGTGAGGCGGGGCGACAAGGGCACGGAGATGGAGACGGAGGGGTGCGTGGGGCTCAGTGCGGCGCCGAGATGGCGATGGAGGCGCGCCGCCTCGAGTCGACTCACGGGCCACGTGAGGCGGGGCGACAAGGGCACGGAGATGGAGACGGAGGGGTGCGTGGGGCTCAGTGCGGCGCCGAGATGGCGATGGAGGCGCGCCGCCTCGAGTCGACTCACGGGCCACGTGAGGCGGGGCGACAAGGGCACGGAGATGGAGACGGAGGGGTGCGTGGGGCTCAGTGCGGCGCCGAGATGGCGATGGAGGCGCGCCGCCTCGAGTCGACTCACGGGCCACGTGAGGCGGGGCGACAAGGGCACGGAGATGGAGACGGAGGGGTGCGTGGGGCTCAGTGCGGCGCCGAGATGGCGATGGCGGCGCGCCGCCTCGAGTCGACTCACGGGCCACGCGAGGCGGGGCGACAAGGGCACGGAGATGGAGACGGAGGGGTGCGTGGGGCTCAGTGCGGCGCCGAGATGGCGATGGCGGCGCGCCGCCTCGAGTCGACTCACGGGCCACGCGAGGCGGGGCGACAAGGGCACGGAGATGGAGACGGAGGGGTGCGTGGGGCTCAGTGCGGCGCCGAGATGGCGATGGCGGCGCGCCGCCTCGAGTCGACTCACGGGCCACGCGAGGCGGGGCGACAAGGGCACGGAGATGGAGACGGAGGGGTGCGTGGGGCGCAGTGCGGCGCCGAGATGGCGATGGCGGCGCGCCGCCTCGAGTCGACTCACGGGCCACGCGAGGCGGGGCGACAAGAGCACGGAGATGGAGACGGAGGGGTGCGTGGGGCTCAGTGCGGCGCCGAGATGGCGATGGCGGCGCGCCGCCTCGAGTCGACTCACGGGCCACGCGAGGCGGGGCGACAAGGGCACGGAGATGGAGACGGAGGGGTGCGTGGGGCTCAGTGCGGCGCCGAGATGGCGATGGCGGCGCGCCGCCTCGAGTCGACTCACGGGCCACGCGAGGCGGGGCGACAAGGGCACGGAGATGGAGACGGAGGGGTGCGTGGGGCTCAGTGCGGCGCCGAGATGGCGATGGCGGCGCGCCGCCTCGAGTCGACTCACGGGCCACGCGAGGCGGGGCCACAAGGGCACGGAGATGGAGACGGAGGGGTGCGTGGGGCTCAGTGCGGCGCCGAGATGGCGATGGCGGCGCGCCGCCTCGAGTCGACTCACGGGCCACGCGAGGCGGGGCCACAAGGGCACGGAGATGGAGACGGAGGGGTGCGTGGGGCTCAGTGCGGCGCCGAGATGGCGATGGCGGCGCGCCGCCTCGAGTCGACTCACGGGCCACGCGAGGCGGGGCCACAAGGGCACGGAGATGGAGACGGAGGGGTGCGTGGGGCTCAGTGCGGCGCCGAGATGGCGATGGCGGCGCGCCGCCTCGAGTCGACTCACGGGCCACGCGAGGCGGGGCCACAAGGGCACGGAGATGGAGACGGAGGGGTGCGTGGGGCTCAGTGCGGCGCCGAGATGGCGATGGCGGCGCGCCGCCTCGAGTCGACTCACGGGCCACGCGAGGCGGGGCCACAAGGGCACGGAGATGGAGACGGAGGGGTGCGTGGGGCTCAGTGCGGCGCCGAGATGGCGATGGCGGCGCGCCGCCTCGAGTCGACTCACGGGCCACGCGAGGCGGGGCCACAAGGGCACGGAGATGGAGACGGAGGGGTGCGTGGGGCTCAGTGCGGCGCCGAGATGGCGATGGCGGCGCGCCGCCTCGAGTCGACTCACGGGCCACGCGAGGCGGGGCGACAAGGGCACGGAGATGGAGACGGAGGGGTGCGTGGGGCTCAGTGCGGCGCCGAGATGGCGATGGCGGCGCGCCGCCTCGAGTCGACTCACGGGCCACGCGAGGCGGGGCGACAAGGGCACGGAGATGGAGACGGAGGGGTGCGTGGGGCTCAGTGCGGCGCCGAGATGGCGATGGCGGCGCGCCGCCTCGAGTCGACTCACGGGCCACGCGAGGCGGGGCGACAAGGGCACGGAGATGGAGACGGAGGGGTGCGTGGGGCTCAGTGCGGCGCCGAGATGGCGATGGCGGCGCGCCGCCTCGAGTCGACTCACGGGCCACGTGAGGCGGGGCGACAAGGGCACGGAGATGGAGACGGAGGGGTGCGTGGGGCTCAGTGCGGCGCCGAGATGGCGATGGCGGCGCGCCGCCTCGAGTCGACTCACGGGCCACGTGAGGCGGGGCGACAAGGGCACGGAGATGGAGACGGAGGGGTGCGTGGGGCTCAGTGCGGCGCCGAGATGGCGATGGCGGCGCGCCGCCTCGAGTCGACTCACGGGCCACGTGAGGCGGGGCGACAAGGGCACGGAGATGGAGACGGAGGGGTGCGTGGGGCTCAGTGCGGCGCCGAGATGGCGATGGAGGCGCGCCGCCTCGAGTCGACTCACGGGCCACGTGAGGCGGGGCGACAAGACAAGGGCACGGAGATGGAGACGGAGGGGTGCGTGGGGCTCAGTGCGGCGCCGAGATGGCGATGGAGGCGCGCCGCCTCGAGTCGACTCACGGGCCACGTGAGGCGGGGCGACAAGGGCACGGAGATGGAGACGGAGGGGTGCGTGGGGCTCAGTGCGGCGCCGAGATGGCGATGGAGGCGCGCCGCCTCGAGTCGACTCACGGGCCACGTGAGGCGGGGCGACAAGGGCACGGAGATGGAGACGGAGGGGTGCGTGGGGCTCAGTGCGGCGCCGAGATGGCGATGGAGGCGCGCCGCCTCGAGTCGACTCACGGGCCACGTGAGGCGGGGCGACAAGGGCACGGAGATGGAGACGGAGGGGTGCGTGGGGCTCAGTGCGGCGCCGAGATGGCGATGGCGGCGCGCCGCCTCGAGTCGACTCACGGGCCACGTGAGGCGGGGCCACAAGGGCACGGAGATGGAGACGGAGGGGTGCGTGGGGCTCAGTGCGGCGCCGAGATGGCGATGGCGGCGCGCCGCCTCGAGTCGACTCACGGGCCACGCGAGGCGGGGCCACAAGGGCACGGAGATGGAGACGGAGGGGTGCGTGGGGCTCAGTGCGGCGCCGAGATGGCGATGGCGGCGCGCCGCCTCGAGTCGACTCACGGGCCACGCGAGGCGGGGCCACAAGGGCACCGAGATGGAGACGGAGGGGTGCGTGGGGCTCAGTGCGGCGCCGAGATGGCGATGGCGGCGCGCCGCCTCGAGTCGACTCACGGGCCACGCGAGGCGGGGCCACAAGGGCACCGAGATGGAGACGGAGGGGTGCGTGGGGCTCAGTGCGGCGCCGAGATGGCGATGGCGGCGCGCCGCCTCGAGTCGACTCACGGGCCACGCGAGGCGGGGCCACAAGGGCACGGAGATGGAGACGGAGGGGTGCGTGGGGCTCAGTGCGGCGCCGAGATGGCGATGGCGGCGCGCCGCCTCGAGTCGACTCACGGGCCACGCGAGGCGGGGCCACAAGGGCACGGAGATGGAGACGGAGGGGTGCGTGGGGCTCAGTGCGGCGCCGAGATGGCGATGGCGGCGCGCCGCCTCGAGTCGACTCACGGGCCACGCGAGGCGGGGCCACAAGGGCACGGAGATGGAGACGGAGGGGTGCGTGGGGCTCAGTGCGGCGCCGAGATGGCGATGGCGGCGCGCCGCCTCGAGTCGACTCACGGGCCACGCGAGGCGGGGCCACAAGGGCACGGAGATGGAGACGGAGGGGTGCGTGGGGCTCAGTGCGGCGCCGAGATGGCGATGGCGGCGCGCCGCCTCGAGTCGACTCACGGGCCACGCGAGGCGGGGCCACAAGGGCACCGAGATGGAGACGGAGGGGTGCGTGGGGCTCAGTGCGGCGCCGAGATGGCGATGGCGGCGCGCCGCCTCGAGTCGACTCACGGGCCACGCGAGGCGGGGCCACAAGGGCACCGAGATGGAGACGGAGGGGTGCGTGGGGCTCAGTGCGGCGCCGAGATGGCGATGGAGGCGCGCCGCCTCGAGTCGACTCACGGGCCACGTGAGGCGGGGCGACAAGGGCACGGAGATGGAGACGGAGGGGTGCGTGGGGCTCAGTGCGGCGCCGAGATGGCGATGGAGGCGCGCCGCCTCGAGTCGACTCACGGGCCACGTGAGGCGGGGCGACAAGGGCACGGAGATGGAGACGGAGGGGTGCGTGGGGCTCAGTGCGGCGCCGAGATGGCGATGGAGGCGCGCCGCCTCGAGTCGACTCACGGGCCACGTGAGGCGGGGCGACAAGGGCACGGAGATGGAGACGGAGGGGTGCGTGGGGCTCAGTGCGGCGCCGAGATGGCGATGGAGGCGCGCCGCCTCGAGTCGACTCACGGGCCACGTGAGGCGGGGCGACAAGGGCACGGAGATGGAGACGGAGGGGTGCGTGGGGCTCAGTGCGGCGCCGAGATGGCGATGGAGGCGCGCCGCCTCGAGTCGACTCACGGGCCACGTGAGGCGGGGCGACAAGGGCACGGAGATGGAGACGGAGGGGTGCGTGGGGCTCAGTGCGGCGCCGAGATGGCGATGGAGGCGCGCCGCCTCGAGTCGACTCACGGGCCACGCGAGGCGGGGCCACAAGGGCACCGAGATGGAGACGGAGGGGTGCGTGGGGCTCAGTGCGGCGCCGAGATGGCGATGGCGGCGCGCCGCCTCGAGTCGACTCACGGGCCACGCGAGGCGGGGCCACAAGGGCACCGAGATGGAGACGGAGGGGTGCGTGGGGCTCAGTGCGGCGCCGAGATGGCGATGGCGGCGCGCCGCCTCGAGTCGACTCACGGGCCACGCGAGGCGGGGCCACAAGGGCACGGAGATGGAGACGGAGGGGTGCGTGGGGCTCAGTGCGGCGCCGAGATGGCGATGGCGGCGCGCCGCCTCGAGTCGACTCACGGGCCACGCGAGGCGGGGCCACAAGGGCACGGAGATGGAGACGGAGGGGTGCGTGGGGCTCAGTGCGGCGCCGAGATGGCGATGGCGGCGCGCCGCCTCGAGTCGACTCACGGGCCACGCGAGGCGGGGCCACAAGGGCACGGAGATGGAGACGGAGGGGTGCGTGGGGCTCAGTGCGGCGCCGAGATGGCGATGGCGGCGCGCCGCCTCGAGTCGACTCACGGGCCACGCGAGGCGGGGCCACAAGGGCACGGAGATGGAGACGGAGGGGTGCGTGGGGCTCAGTGCGGCGCCGAGATGGCGATGGCGGCGCGCCGCCTCGAGTCGACTCACGGGCCACGCGAGGCGGGGCCACAAGGGCACGGAGATGGAGACGGAGGGGTGCGTGGGGCTCAGTGCGGCGCCGAGATGGCGATGGCGGCGCGCCGCCTCGAGTCGACTCACGGGCCACGCGAGGCGGGGCGACAAGGGCACGGAGATGGAGACGGAGGGGTGCGTGGGGCTCAGTGCGGCGCCGAGATGGCGATGGCGGCGCGCCGCCTCGAGTCGACTCACGGGCCACGCGAGGCGGGGCGACAAGGGCACGGAGATGGAGACGGAGGGGTGCGTGGGGCTCAGTGCGGCGCCGAGATGGCGATGGCGGCGCGCCGCCTCGAGTCGACTCACGGGCCACGGGAGGCGGGGCGACAAGGGCACGGAGATGGAGACGGAGGGGTGCGTGGGGCTCAGTGCGGCGCCGAGATGGCGATGGAGGCGCGCCGCCTCGAGTCGACTCACGGGCCACGTGAGGCGGGGCGACAAGGGCACGGAGATGGAGACGGAGGGGTGCGTGGGGCTCAGTGCGGCGCCGAGATGGCGATGGCGGCGCGCCGCCTCGAGTCGACTCACGGGCCACGTGAGGCGGGGCGACAAGGGCACGGAGATGGAGACGGAGGGGTGCGTGGGGCTCAGTGCGGCGCCGAGATGGCGATGGCGGCGCGCCGCCTCGAGTCGACTCACGGGCCACGTGAGGCGGGGCCACAAGGGCACGGAGATGGAGACGGAGGGGTGCGTGGGGCTCAGTGCGGCGCCGAGATGGCGATGGAGGCGCGCCGCCTCGAGTCGACTCACGGGCCACGTGAGGCGGGGCCACAAGGGCACGGAGATGGAGACGGAGGGGTGCGTGGGGCTCAGTGCGGCGCCGAGATGGCGATGGAGGCGCGCCGCCTCGAGTCGACTCACGGGCCACGTGAGGCGGGGCCACAAGGGCACGGAGATGGAGACGGAGGGGTGCGTGGGGCTCAGTGCGGCGCCGAGATGGCGATGGCGGCGCGCCGCCTCGAGTCGACTCACGGGCCACGCGAGGCGGGGCCACAAGGGCACGGAGATGGAGACGGAGGGGTGCGTGGGGCTCAGTGCGGCGCCGAGATGGCGATGGCGGCGCGCCGCCTCGAGTCGACTCACGGGCCACGCGAGGCGGGGCCACAAGGGCACGGAGATGGAGACGGAGGGGTGCGTGGGGCTCAGTGCGGCGCCGAGATGGCGATGGCGGCGCGCCGCCTCGAGTCGACTCACGGGCCACGCGAGGCGGGGCCACAAGGGCACGGAGATGGAGACGGAGGGGTGCGTGGGGCTCAGTGCGGCGCCGAGATGGCGATGGCGGCGCGCCGCCTCGAGTCGACTCACGGGCCACGCGAGGCGGGGCCACAAGGGCACGGAGATGGAGACGGAGGGGTGCGTGGGGCTCAGTGCGGCGCCGAGATGGCGATGGCGGCGCGCCGCCTCGAGTCGACTCACGGGCCACGCGAGGCGGGGCCACAAGGGCACCGAGATGGAGACGGAGGGGTGCGTGGGGCTCAGTGCGGCGCCGAGATGGCGATGGCGGCGCGCCGCCTCGAGTCGACTCACGGGCCACGCGAGGCGGGGCCACAAGGGCACGGAGATGGAGACGGAGGGGTGCGTGGGGCTCAGTGCGGCGCCGAGATGGCGATGGCGGCGCGCCGCCTCGAGTCGACTCACGGGCCACGCGAGGCGGGGCCACAAGGGCACGGAGATGGAGACGGAGGGGTGCGTGGGGCTCAGTGCGGCGCCGAGATGGCGATGGCGGCGCGCCGCCTCGAGTCGACTCACGGGCCACGCGAGGCGGGGCCACAAGGGCACGGAGATGGAGACGGAGGGGTGCGTGGGGCTCAGTGCGGCGCCGAGATGGCGATGGCGGCGCGCCGCCTCGAGTCGACTCACGGGCCACGCGAGGCGGGGCCACAAGGGCACGGAGATGGAGACGGAGGGGTGCGTGGGGCTCAGTGCGGCGCCGAGATGGCGATGGCGGCGCGCCGCCTCGAGTCGACTCACGGGCCACGCGAGGCGGGGCCACAAGGGCACGGAGATGGAGACGGAGGGGTGCGTGGGGCTCAGTGCGGCGCCGAGATGGCGATGGCGGCGCGCCGCCTCGAGTCGACTCACGGGCCACGCGAGGCGGGGCCACAAGGGCACGGAGATGGAGACGGAGGGGTGCGTGGGGCTCAGTGCGGCGCCGAGATGGCGATGGCGGCGCGCCGCCTCGAGTCGACTCACGGGCCACGCGAGGCGGGGCCACAAGGGCACGGAGATGGAGACGGAGGGGTGCGTGGGGCTCAGTGCGGCGCCGAGATGGCGATGGCGGCGCGCCGCCTCGAGTCGACTCACGGGCCACGCGAGGCGGGGCCACAAGGGCACGGAGATGGAGACGGAGGGGTGCGTGGGGCTCAGTGCGGCGCCGAGATGGCGATGGCGGCGCGCCGCCTCGAGTCGACTCACGGGCCACGCGAGGCGGGGCCACAAGGGCACGGAGATGGAGACGGAGGGGTGCGTGGGGCTCAGTGCGGCGCCGAGATGGCGATGGCGGCGCGCCGCCTCGAGTCGACTCACGGGCCACGCGAGGCGGGGCCACAAGGGCACGGAGATGGAGACGGAGGGGTGCGTGGGGCTCAGTGCGGCGCCGAGATGGCGATGGCGGCGCGCCGCCTCGAGTCGACTCACGGGCCACGCGAGGCGGGGCCACAAGGGCACGGAGATGGAGACGGAGGGGTGCGTGGGGCTCAGTGCGGCGCCGAGATGGCGATGGCGGCGCGCCGCCTCGAGTCGACTCACGGGCCACGCGAGGCGGGGCCACAAGGGCACGGAGATGGAGACGGAGGGGTGCGTGGGGCTCAGTGCGGCGCCGAGATGGCGATGGCGGCGCGCCGCCTCGAGTCGACTCACGGGCCACGCGAGGCGGGGCCACAAGGGCACGGAGATGGAGACGGAGGGGTGCGTGGGGCTCAGTGCGGCGCCGAGATGGCGATGGCGGCGCGCCGCCTCGAGTCGACTCACGGGCCACGCGAGGCGGGGCCACAAGGGCACGGAGATGGAGACGGAGGGGTGCGTGGGGCTCAGTGCGGCGCCGAGATGGCGATGGCGGCGCGCCGCCTCGAGTCGACTCACGGGCCACGCGAGGCGGGGCCACAAGGGCACGGAGATGGAGACGGAGGGGTGCGTGGGGCTCAGTGCGGCGCCGAGATGGCGATGGCGGCGCGCCGCCTCGAGTCGACTCACGGGCCACGCGAGGCGGGGCCACAAGGGCACGGAGATGGAGACGGAGGGGTGCGTGGGGCTCAGTGCGGCGCCGAGATGGCGATGGCGGCGCGCCGCCTCGAGTCGACTCACGGGCCACGCGAGGCGGGGCCACAAGGGCACGGAGATGGAGACGGAGGGGTGCGTGGGGCTCAGTGCGGCGCCGAGATGGCGATGGCGGCGCGCCGCCTCGAGTCGACTCACGGGCCACGCGAGGCGGGGCCACAAGGGCACGGAGATGGAGACGGAGGGGTGCGTGGGGCTCAGTGCGGCGCCGAGATGGCGATGGCGGCGCGCCGCCTCGAGTCGACTCACGGGCCACGCGAGGCGGGGCCACAAGGGCACGGAGATGGAGACGGAGGGGTGCGTGGGGCTCAGTGCGGCGCCGAGATGGCGATGGCGGCGCGCCGCCTCGAGTCGACTCACGGGCCACGCGAGGCGGGGCCACAAGGGCACGGAGATGGAGACGGAGGGGTGCGTGGGGCTCAGTGCGGCGCCGAGATGGCGATGGCGGCGCGCCGCCTCGAGTCGACTCACGGGCCACGCGAGGCGGGGCCACAAGGGCACCGAGATGGAGACGGAGGGGTGCGTGGGGCTCAGTGCGGCGCCGAGATGGCGATGGCGGCGCGCCGCCTCGAGTCGACTCACGGGCCACGCGAGGCGGGGCCACAAGGGCACCGAGATGGAGACGGAGGGGTGCGTGGGGCTCAGTGCGGCGCCGAGATGGCGATGGCGGCGCGCCGCCTCGAGTCGACTCACGGGCCACGCGAGGCGGGGCCACAAGGGCACGGAGATGGAGACGGAGGGGTGCGTGGGGCTCAGTGCGGCGCCGAGATGGCGATGGCGGCGCGCCGCCTCGAGTCGACTCACGGGCCACGCGAGGCGGGGCCACAAGGGCACCGAGATGGAGACGGAGGGGTGCGTGGGGCTCAGTGCGGCGCCGAGATGGCGATGGCGGCGCGCCGCCTCGAGTCGACTCACGGGCCACGCGAGGCGGGGCCACAAGGGCACCGAGATGGAGACGGAGGGGTGCGTGGGGCTCAGTGCGGCGCCGAGATGGCGATGGCGGCGCGCCGCCTCGAGTCGACTCACGGGCCACGCGAGGCGGGGCCACAAGGGCACCGAGATGGAGACGGAGGGGTGCGTGGGGCTCAGTGCGGCGCCGAGATGGCGATGGCGGCGCGCCGCCTCGAGTCGACTCACGGGCCACGCGAGGCGGGGCCACAAGGGCACCGAGATGGAGACGGAGGGGTGCGTGGGGCTCAGTGCGGCGCCGAGATGGCGATGGCGGCGCGCCGCCTCGAGTCGACTCACGGGCCACGCGAGGCGGGGCCACAAGGGCACCGAGATGGAGACGGAGGGGTGCGTGGGGCTCAGTGCGGCGCCGAGATGGCGATGGCGGCGCGCCGCCTCGAGTCGACTCACGGGCCACGCGAGGCGGGGCCACAAGGGCACCGAGATGGAGACGGAGGGGTGCGTGGGGCTCAGTGCGGCGCCGAGATGGCGATGGCGGCGCGCCGCCTCGAGTCGACTCACGGGCCACGCGAGGCGGGGCCACAAGGGCACCGAGATGGAGACGGAGGGGTGCGTGGGGCTCAGTGCGGCGCCGAGATGGCGATGGCGGCGCGCCGCCTCGAGTCGACTCACGGGCCACGCGAGGCGGGGCCACAAGGGCACGGAGATGGAGACGGAGGGGTGCGTGGGGCTCAGTGCGGCGCCGAGATGGCGATGGCGGCGCGCCGCCTCGAGTCGACTCACGGGCCACGCGAGGCGGGGCCACAAGGGCACGGAGATGGAGACGGAGGGGTGCGTGGGGCTCAGTGCGGCGCCGAGATGGCGATGGCGGCGCGCCGCCTCGAGTCGACTCACGGGCCACGCGAGGCGGGGCCACAAGGGCACCGAGATGGAGACGGAGGGGTGCGTGGGGCTCAGTGCGGCGCCGAGATGGCGATGGCGGCGCGCCGCCTCGAGTCGACTCACGGGCCACGCGAGGCGGGGCCACAAGGGCACCGAGATGGAGACGGAGGGGTGCGTGGGGCTCAGTGCGGCGCCGAGATGGCGATGGCGGCGCGCCGCCTCGAGTCGACTCACGGGCCACGCGAGGCGGGGCCACAAGGGCACCGAGATGGAGACGGAGGGGTGCGTGGGGATCAGTGCGGCGCCGAGATGGCGATGGCGGCGCGCCGCCTCGAGTCGACTCACGGGCCACGCGAGGCGGGGCCACAAGGGCACCGAGATGGAGACGGAGGGGTGCGTGGGGCTCAGTGCGGCGCCGAGATGGCGATGGCGGCGCGCCGCCTCGAGTCGACTCACGGGCCACGCGAGGCGGGGCCACAAGGGCACCGAGATGGAGACGGAGGGGTGCGTGGGGCTCAGTGCGGCGCCGAGATGGCGATGGCGGCGCGCCGCCTCGAGTCGACTCACGGGCCACGCGAGGCGGGGCCACAAGGGCACCGAGATGGAGACGGAGGGGTGCGTGGGGCTCAGTGCGGCGCCGAGATGGCGATGGCGGCGCGCCGCCTCGAGTCGACTCACGGGCCACGCGAGGCGGGGCCACAAGGGCACCGAGATGGAGACGGAGGGGTGCGTGGGGCTCAGTGCGGCGCCGAGATGGCGATGGCGGCGCGCCGCCTCGAGTCGACTCACGGGCCACGCGAGGCGGGGCCACAAGGGCACGGAGATGGAGACGGAGGGGTGCGTGGGGCTCAGTGCGGCGCCGAGATGGCGATGGCGGCGCGCCGCCTCGAGTCGACTCACGGGCCACGCGAGGCGGGGCCACAAGGGCACGGAGATGGAGACGGAGGGGTGCGTGGGGCTCAGTGCGGCGCCGAGATGGCGATGGCGGCGCGCCGCCTCGAGTCGACTCACGGGCCACGCGAGGCGGGGCCACAAGGGCACCGAGATGGAGACGGAGGGGTGCGTGGGGCTCAGTGCGGCGCCGAGATGGCGATGGCGGCGCGCCGCCTCGAGTCGACTCACGGGCCACGCGAGGCGGGGCCACAAGGGCACCGAGATGGAGACGGAGGGGTGCGTGGGGCTCAGTGCGGCGCCGAGATGGCGATGGCGGCGCGCCGCCTCGAGTCGACTCACGGGCCACGCGAGGCGGGGCCACAAGGGCACCGAGATGGAGACGGAGGGGTGCGTGGGGCTCAGTGCGGCGCCGAGATGGCGATGGCGGCGCGCCGCCTCGAGTCGACTCACGGGCCACGCGAGGCGGGGCCACAAGGGCACCGAGATGGAGACGGAGGGGTGCGTGGGGCTCAGTGCGGCGCCGAGATGGCGATGGCGGCGCGCCGCCTCGAGTCGACTCACGGGCCACGCGAGGCGGGGCCACAAGGGCACCGAGATGGAGACGGAGGGGTGCGTGGGGCTCAGTGCGGCGCCGAGATGGCGATGGCGGCGCGCCGCCTCGAGTCGACTCACGGGCCACGCGAGGCGGGGCCACAAGGGCACCGAGATGGAGACGGAGGGGTGCGTGGGGCTCAGTGCGGCGCCGAGATGGCGATGGCGGCGCGCCGCCTCGAGTCGACTCACGGGCCACGCGAGGCGGGGCCACAAGGGCACCGAGATGGAGACGGAGGGGTGCGTGGGGCTCAGTGCGGCGCCGAGATGGCGATGGCGGCGCGCCGCCTCGAGTCGACTCACGGGCCACGCGAGGCGGGGCCACAAGGGCACCGAGATGGAGACGGAGGGGTGCGTGGGGCTCTGTGCGGCGCCGAGATGGCGATGGCGGCGCGCCGCCTCGAGTCGACTCACGGGCCACGCGAGGCGGGGCCACAAGGGCACCGAGATGGAGACGGAGGGGTGCGTGGGGCTCTGTGCGGCGCCGAGATGGCGATGGCGGCGCGCCGCCTCGTGTCGACTCACGGGCCACGCGAGGCGGGGCCACAAGGGCACCGAGATGGAGACGGAGGGGTGCGTGGGGCTCTGTGCGGCGCCGAGATGGCGATGGCGGCGCGCCGCCTCGAGTCGACTCACGGGCCACGCGAGGCGGGGCCACAAGGGCACCGAGATGGAGACGGAGGGGTGCGTGGGGCTCAGTGCGGCGCCGAGACGGCGATGGCGGCGCGCCGCCTCGAGTCGACTCACGGGCCACGCGAGGCGGGGCCACAAGGGCACCGAGATGGAGACGGAGGGGTGCGTGGGGCTCAGTGCGGCGCCGAGACGGCGATGGCGGCGCGCCGCCTCGAGTCGACTCACGGGCCACGCGAGGCGGGGCCACAAGGGCACCGAGATGGAGACGGAGGGGTGCGTGGGGCTCAGTGCGGCGCCGAGACGGCGATGGCGGCGCGCCGCCTCGAGTCGACTCACGGGCCACGCGAGGCGGGGCCACAAGGGCACCGAGATGGAGACGGAGGGGTGCGTGGGGCTCAGTGCGGCGCCGAGACGGCGATGGCGGCGCGCCGCCTCGAGTCGACTCACGGGCCACGCGAGGCGGGGCCACAAGGGCACCGAGATGGAGACGGAGGGGTGCGTGGGGCTCAGTGCGGCGCCGAGACGGCGATGGCGGCGCGCCGCCTCGAGTCGACTCACGGGCCACGCGAGGCGGGGCCACAAGGGCACCGAGATGGAGACGGAGGGGTGCGTGGGGCTCAGTGCGGCGCCGAGATGGCGATGGCGGCGCGCCGCCTCGAGTCGACTCACGGGCCACGCGAGGCGGGGCCACAAGGGCACCGAGATGGAGACGGAGGGGTGCGTGGGGCTCAGTGCGGCGCCGAGATGGCGATGGCGGCGCGCCGCCTCGAGTCGACTCACGGGCCACGCGAGGCGGGGCCACAAGGGCACCGAGATGGAGACGGAGGGGTGCGTGGGGCTCAGTGCGGCGCCGAGATGGCGATGGCGGCGCGCCGCCTCGAGTCGACTCACGGGCCACGCGAGGCGGGGCCACAAGGGCACCGAGATGGAGACGGAGGGGTGCGTGGGGCTCAGTGCGGCGCCGAGATGGCGATGGCGGCGCGCCGCCTCGAGTCGACTCACGGGCCACGCGAGGCGGGGCCACAAGGGCACCGAGATGGAGACGGAGGGGTGCGTGGGGCTCAGTGCGGCGCCGAGATGGCGATGGCGGCGCGCCGCCTCGAGTCGACTCACGGGCCACGCGAGGCGGGGCCACAAGGGCACCGAGATGGAGACGGAGGGGTGCGTGGGGCTCAGTGCGGCGCCGAGATGGCGATGGCGGCGCGCCGCCTCGAGTCGACTCACGGGCCACGCGAGGCGGGGCCACAAGGGCACCGAGATGGAGACGGAGGGGTGCGTGGGGCTCAGTGCGGCGCCGAGATGGCGATGGCGGCGCGCCGCCTCGAGTCGACTCACGGGCCACGCGAGGCGGGGCCACAAGGGCACCGAGATGGAGACGGAGGGGTGCGTGGGGCTCAGTGCGGCGCCGAGATGGCGATGGCGGCGCGCCGCCTCGAGTCGACTCACGGGCCACGCGAGGCGGGGCCACAAGGGCACCGAGATGGAGACGGAGGGGTGCGTGGGGCTCAGTGCGGCGCCGAGATGGCGATGGCGGCGCGCCGCCTCGAGTCGACTCACGGGCCACGCGAGGCGGGGCCACAAGGGCACCGAGATGGAGACGGAGGGGTGCGTGGGGCTCAGTGCGGCGCCGAGATGGCGATGGCGGCGCGCCGCCTCGAGTCGACTCACGGGCCACGCGAGGCGGGGCCACAAGGGCACCGAGATGGAGACGGAGGGGTGCGTGGGGCTCAGTGCGGCGCCGAGATGGCGATGGCGGCGCGCCGCCTCGAGTCGACTCACGGGCCACGCGAGGCGGGGCCACAAGGGCACCGAGATGGAGACGGAGGGGTGCGTGGGGCTCAGTGCGGCGCCGAGATGGCGATGGCGGCGCGCCGCCTCGAGTCGACTCACGGGCCACGCGAGGCGGGGCCACAAGGGCACCGAGATGGAGACGGAGGGGTGCGTGGGGCTCAGTGCGGCGCCGAGATGGCGATGGCGGCGCGCCGCCTCGAGTCGACTCACGGGCCACGCGAGGCGGGGCCACAAGGGCACCGAGATGGAGACGGAGGGGTGCGTGGGGCTCAGTGCGGCGCCGAGGGCACCGAGATGGAGACGGAGGGGTGCGTGGGGCTCAGTGCGGCGCCGAGATGGCGATGGAGGCGCGCCGCCTCGAGTCGACTCACGGGCCACGTGAGGCGGGGCCACAAGGGCACCGAGATGGAGACGGAGGGGTGCGTGGGGCTCAGTGCGGCGCCGAGATGGCGATGGCGGCGCGCCGCCTCGAGTCGACTCACGGGCCACGTGAGGCGGAGCCACAAGGGCACCGAGATGGAGATAAAGAGGTGCGTTTTGAGTCGACTCACAAGTCACGTGAGGCAGAGCGACTGGTAGGTGTATTTGAGCAAGGGCCACCCAAATATGCAACAATATTCAGGTCAATCGATGCTCCCCCCCACGCCTATAGGGATCCATCCGCTTCGTTACCATTTCTCGGCAGACATAGCCGTCATCACAGGCGCCGAACATTTTGGTGCGCACAAACAAAGCTGAACTTGCTCTGGTAGGTGTATTTGAGCATGGGCCACCCGAATATGCAACAACATTAAGGTCAATCTACGCATTTCCCTACGCCTATAGGGATCCATGCGCTTTATTACCATTTGTCGGCAAACACAGCCGTCATCGCAGACGCCAAACTTTTTGGTGCGCACAAACAAAGCTAAACTTGCTTTGGTAGGTGTATTTGAGCATGGGCCACCCACATATGCAACAACATTCAGATCATTCGATGCTTTTCCCTACACTTTTAGGGATCCATGCACTTCGTTACCATTTGTCGGCAGACACAGCCGTCATCGCAGGCGCCGAACTTTTTGGTGCGCACAAACAAAGATGAACTTGCTTAGGTAGGTGTATTTGGGCATGGGCCACCCGAATATGCAACAACATTCACGTAATTCGATGCTTTTCCCTACGCCTATAGGGATCCATGCGCTTCATTACCATTTGTCGACAGACACAGCCGTCATCGCAGGCGCCGAGCTTTTTGGTGCGCACAAACAAAGCTGAACTTGCTCTGGTAGATGTATTTGAGCGAGGGCCACCCGAATTTGCAACAACATTCAAGTCATTTCATGCTCATCCCTACGCCTATAGAGATACATGCGCTTCGTTACCATTTGTCGGCAGACACAACCGTCATCGCAGGTGCCGAGCTTTTTGGCGCGCACAAACAAAGTTGAACTTGCTCCGGTAGGTGTATTTGAGCGAGGGCCTTTCGAATATGCCACAACATTCAGGCAATTCGATGCTTTTCCTTAAGCCTATAGGGATCCATGCGCTTCTTTACCATTTGTCGGCAGACACAGTCAGCATCGCAGGCGCCGAACTTTTTGGAGCGCACAAACAAAGCTGAATTTGCTTTGATAGGTGTATTTGAGCGAGGGCCACCCGAATATGCAACAACATTTAGGTCATTCGATGCTCCCCCCTACGCCTATAGGGATCCATGCGCTTTGTTACCATTTGTCGGCTAAACAGCCGTCATCGCATGCGCCGAAATTTTTGGTGTGCACAAACAAAGCTGAACTTGCTCTGGTCGGTGTATTTGAGCATGGGCCACCCGAATATGCAACAACATTCAGGTCATTCGATGCTTTCCCCTACGCCTATAGGGATCCATGCGCTTCGTTACCATTTGTCGGCAGACGCAGCCGTCATCGCCTGAAAGCGGGAGAATGGGGCGGAATGATGGAAAGAGGGAGAATGGGGTGGGGCAATGGAAAGAGGGAGAATGGGGCAGGGTGATGGAAAGCGGGAGAATGGGGCGAGGTGGTGGAAAGCGGGAGAATGGGGCGGGTGATGGAAAGCGGGAGAATGGGGCGGGGTGATGGAAAGAGGGAGAACGGGGCGGGATGATAGAAAGCGGGAGAATGAGGCGGGTGATGGAAAGCGGGGGTGATGGAAAGCGGGAGAACGGGGCGGGGTAATGGAAAGCGGGAGAATGGGGCGGGGTGATAGAAAGCAGGAGAATGGGGTGGGGTGATGGAAAGCGGGAGAACGGGACGGGGTGATGGAAAGCGGGAGAATGGGGCGGGATGATGGAAAGAGGGAGAATGGGGCGGGGTGATGGAAAGAGGGAGAATGGGGCGGGGTGATGGAAAGCGGGAGAATGGGGCGGGGTGATGGAAAGCGGGAGAATGGGGCGGGGTGATGGAAAGCGGGAGAATGGGACTGGGTGATGGAAAGCGGGAGAATGGGGCGGGGTGATGGAAAGCAAGAGAATGGGGCGGGGTGATGGAAAGCGGCAAAATGGGGCGGGGTGATGGAAAGCGGGAGAATGGGGCGGGGTGATGGAAAGAGGGAGAATGGGGCGGGGTGATGGAAAGAGGGAGAATGGGGCGGGGTGATGGCAATGATGGAAAGCGAGCGAATCTGGAGAGCGTACAAGAGATTAAGTCCGCCGACTTCGACGGAACATTGCGTGCAGCACACGTAACCTTCAGGGCTAATCTCGACGTAACTATGAGCAGGTACGCGTTGGAAAGGGCTTAATCTCGACTTTCCAGAATGGTATCGCACGCCTTCAACCAAGATCTAGGCCGATCGCTATCGCGATTAAGGTGCGACGGGGTATCCTGACGAAATTACTTGGCAGCCATGGATTAGATCAAGAAAGTAGCTTTAGCAAAAGTTCAGATCTGAAAAGTCACGAGTTGTTCAAACCCTACCAACCCAACCCTCGCCCTACAACAATCCTCAACAACCCAAAGTGCTAAACTAGCAACACCAAAGGTGTTGTAGTGAAGAGCAAAGGTTTGTTGGTGCTTGTTGGGTGCGAGATCAATTCTAGCCCGCAACAAGTCTAACCACCACATTTTGCCCAAACCCTTAGCCCACAACCAGCTAGAGCAAAATACCACAACCACCTACACAATCAACACTCCCCCTTGCTCATGCTGGAGGTGGCTGAACACTACTGGGCAAAATCCTTCACTTCACTCCCCCTTGCCCAGGGAGGGGCGCCATCCACAGCATGAGGTCGTCAAGGCAGAGAAGCACCAGTCCTCCCACATCCTGCTCAGGCACCATGCTGACATGGGGCTGCATCCCCATCAAGGACATGCACACACCATGCCGCTCAAAGGGGAGAGGTTTGGTGAGTATATCTGCTGCTTGACGGTTGGTGGGGCACCACCGGAGGATCACCTCGCCGCACGCCACCATCTCCCTGATGAAATGCCACCGAACCTACATGTGCTTGGTGCGGCCATGCAAGCATGCATTCTGTGCAAGGGCAATGGCAGACTGGTTGTCCACAAACACAGGCACACCACCAGCAAACTCATGCCCAAACTCCCCAAACAAACGCTTCATCCACACACCCTCCTGAATGCACTGACACAGACTGATGTACTCACTCTCAGTGGTGGACAATGCAACCACCGGCTGCCTCTTGCTCTGCCAAGAGATGGCTGCACCATTAAGGCAATAGACATAGCCGGTGTGACTCTTGCGATCAGCTGAATCTCCAGCATAATCAGCAACACTAAAGCCCACCAACTCAACCTGAGGCTTGCTGTGTGCGGGGTAGAAGATACCTGACCTGACACAACCTTTCAGGTACCTTAGCACTCTCTTAGCAGCCTGCAAGTGAAATGCCTTGGGACAAGACACCACCTTGGAAAGCTGTGACACTGCATAAGCAATCTGGGGCTGTGTGGTCGTGCTTGCATACATGAGAGACCCCACAATGCTTTGATAGAGCTGGACCAGCTCATCTCGCAGCAAGGGCTCCTCAGCATGTGCATGCACGTCGAACCCTGAAGGGAGAGGGGTACACACGGGGTTAGCCTCAGAAAGGCCAAAGGACTCAAGCATGTTGAGAATGTACCTCTCCTGATGAATCAAAAGGCCACTCTCATCACGCTCAATCTGCACCCCCAAATAGTACTTAGCCTCCCCCAAGTCCTTCATGCGGAAACGAGAGGACAAGAGACCCTTCACCTCGTCCAGCAAGACCATGCTCGAAGACATGAGCAGAATGTCATCCACATAGAGGTAGAGGGACAGCCTGCCTTCACGCCTCACCAAGTGGTACAAGGCGGGGTCACACTCCGACCTCTCAAACCCAAAGTCCATCAGCGCCTCATCAAACTTGAGGTACCACTGCCTTGGAGCTTGCTTTAGCCCATAGATTGAGACGTTTGTGGGGCGCAGGTTGGGAGAAGGTGCATGTGAAGTGGAGACGTTTAGGGGGGAAACGTTTGGTGGGCGCAGGTTGGGAGAAGGTGCGTATGAAGGGGAGACGCTAGGGGGGGAGACGTTTGGGGGGCGCATGTTGGGAGAAGGTGCGTGTGAAGGGGAGACGTTTAGGGGGGAGACGTTTGTGGGGCGCAGGTTGGGAGAAGGTTTGTGTGAAGGGGAGACGTTTAGGGTGGAGACGTTTGTGGGGCGCAGGTTAGGAGAAGGTGCATGTGAAGGGGAGACGTTTAGGAGGGAGACGTTTGTGGGGCGCAGGTTGGGAGAAGGTGTGTGTGAAGGGGAGACGTTTAGGGGGGAGACGTTTGTCGGGCGCAGGTTGGGAGAAAGTGCGTGTGAAGGGGAGACGTTTAGGGGGGAGACGTTTGTGGGGCGCAGGTTCGGAGAAGGTGCGTGTGAAGGGGAGACGTTTAGGGGGGAGACATTTGTGGGGCGCACGTTCGGAGAAGGTGCGTGTGAAGGGGAGACGTTTACGGGGTAGACGTTTGTGGGCCGCAGGTTGGGAGAAGGTGCGTGTGAAGGGGAGACGTTTAGGGGGGGAGACGTTTGTGGGGCGCAGGTTGGAAGAGGGTGCGTGTGAAGGGGAGATGTTTAGGGGGGAGACTTTTGTGGCGCGCAGTTTCGGAGAAGGTGCGTGTGAAGGGGAGACGTTTAGGGGGGAGACGTTTGTGGGGCCCAGGTTCGGAGAAGGTACGCGTGAAGGGGAGACGTTTAGGGGGAGACGTTTGTGGGGCGCAGGTTCGGAGAAGGTGCGTGTGAAGGGGAGACGTTTGTGGGGCGCAAGTTGGGAGAAGGTGCGTGTGAAGGGGAGACGTTTAGGGGAAAGACGTTTGTGGGGCGCCTTATGGGAGAAGGTGCATGTGAAGGGGAGACGTTTAGGGGACAGACATTTGTCGGGCGCAGGTTGGGAGAAGGTGCGTGTGAAGGGGAGACGTTAAGGGGGGAGACGTTTGTGGGGCGCAGGTTGGGGGAAGATGCGTGTGAAGGGGAGACGTTTGTGGGGCGCAAGTTGGGAGAAGGTGCATGTGAAGGGGAGACGTTTAGGGGGGAGACGTTTGTGGGGCGCAGGTTGGGAGAAGGTACATGTGAAGGGGAGACGTTTAGGGGGGAGACGTTTGTGGGGTGCAGGTTGGGAGAAGGTGCATGTGAAGTGGAGACGTTTAGGGGGGAGACGTTTGTGGGGCGCAGGTTCGGAGAAGGTGCGTGTGAAGGAGAGACGTTTAGGGGGGAGACGCTTGTGGGGCGCAGGTTCGGAGAAGGTGCGTGTGAAGGGGAGACGTTTAGGGGGGAGACGTTTGTGGGGCGTAGGTTGGGAGAAGGTACATGTGAAGAGGAGATGTTTAGGGGGGAGACGTTTGTGGGGAACAGGTTGGGAGAAGGTGCATGTGAAGTGGAGACGTTTAGGGGGGAGACGTTCGGTGGGCGCAGGTTGGGAGAAGGTGTGTATGAAGAAAAAACGTTTGGGGGGGAGACGTTTGGGGGGCGTATGTTGGGAGAAGGTGCGTATGAAGGGGAGACGTTTAGGGGGGAGACGTTTGTCGGGCGCAGGTTAGGAGAAGGTGCGTGTGAAGGGGAGACGTTTAGGGGGGAGACGTTTGTCGGGTGCAGGTTGGGAGAAGGTGCGTGTGAAGGGGAGACGTTTTGGGGGGAGACGTTTGTGGGGCGCAGGTTCAGAGAAGGTGTGTGTGAAGGGGAGATGTTTTGGGGGGAGATGTTTGTGGGGCGCAGGTTCGGAGAAGGTGCGTGTGAAGGGGAGACGTTTAGGGGGGAGACGTTTGTGGGGCGCAGGTTCGGAGAAGGTGCGTGTGAAGGGGAACGTTTAGGGAGGAGACGTTTGTGGGGCGCAGGTTCGGAGAAGGTGCGTGTGAAGGGGAGACGTTTAGGGGGGAGACGTTTGTAGGGCGCAGGTTGTGAGAAGGTGCGTGTGAAGGGGAGACATTTGTGGGGCGCAAGTTGGGAGAAGGTGCGTGTGAAGGGGAGACGTTTAGGGGGGAGACGTTTGTGGGGCGCAGGTTGAGAGAAGGTGCGTGTGAGGGGGAGATGTTCAGGGGGGAGACGTTTGGGGGGCGCATGTTGGGAGAAGGTGCGTGTGAAAGGGAGACGTTTATGAGGGAGACGTTTGTGGGGCGCACGTTGGGAGAAGGGGCGTGTGAAGGGGAGACGTTTACGGGGAAGACGTTTGTGGGCCGCAGGTTGGGAGAAGGTGCGTGTGAAGGGGAGACCTTTGTGCGGCGCAGGTTATGAGAAGGTGCGTGTGAAGGGGAGACGTTTAGGGGGAGACGTTTGTGGGGCGCAGGTTCGGAGAAGGTGCGTGTGAAGGGGAGACGTTTGTGGGGCGCAAGTTGGGAGAAGGTGCGTGTGAAGGGGAGACGTTTAGGGGAAAGACGTTTGTGGGGCGCCTTATGGGAGAAGGTGCATGTGAAGGGGAGACGTTTAGGGGGAAGACATTTGTCGGGCGCAGGTTGGGAGAAGGTGCGTGTGAAGGGGAGACGTTCAGGGGGGGGGGGCGTTTGAGGGGAGCAGGTTCGGAGAAGGTGCGTGTGAAGGTGAGACACATAGGGGGGAGACGTTTGTGGGGCGCAAGTTGGGAGAAGGTGCGTGTGAAGGGGAGACGTTTAGGGGGGAGACGTTTGTGGGGCGCAGGTTGGGAGAAGGTACATGTGAAGGGGAGACGTTTAGGGGGGAGACGTTTGTGGGGTGCAGGTTGGGAGAAGGTGCATGTGAAGTGGAGACGTTTAGGGGGGAGACATTTGGTGGGCGTAGGTTGGGAGAAGGTGCGTATGAAGGGGAGACGTTTGGGGGGGAGACGTTTGGGGGGCACATGTTGGGAGAAGGTGCGTGTGAAGGGGAGACGTTTAGGGGGGGAGACGTTTGTGGGGCGCAAGTTGGGTGAAAGTGCGTCTGAAGGGGAGATGTTTAGGGGGGAGACGTTTGTCGCGCGGAGGTTGGGAGAAAGTGTGTGTGAAGGGGAGACGTTTAGGGGGGAGACGTTTGTGGGGCGCAGGTTTGGAGAAGGTGCGTGTGAAGGGGAGACGTTTAGGGGGAAGACGCTTGTGGGGCGCAGGTTCGGAGAAGGTGCGTGTGAAGGGGAGACGTTTATGGGGGAGACGTTTGTGGGGCGTAGGTTAGGAGAAGGCACATGTGAAGAGGAGATGTTTAGGGGGGAGACGTTTGTGGGGAACAGGTTGGGAGAAGGGGCATGTGATGTGGAGACGTTTAGGGGGGAGACGTTCGGTGGGCGCAGGTTGGGAGAAGGTGTGTATGAAGGGGAGACATTTAGGGGGGAGACGTTTGTGGGGCGCAGGTTAGGAGAAGGTGCGTGTGAAGGGGAGACGTTTAGGGGGGAGACGTTTGTCGGGTGCAGGTTGGGAGAAGGTGCATGTGAAGGGGAGACGTTTTGGGGGGAGACGTTTGTGGGGCGCAGGTTCGGAGAAGGTGCGTGTGAAGGGGAGACGTTTTGGGGGGAGACGTTTGTGGGGCGCAGGTTCGGAGAAGGTGCGTGTGAAGGGGAGACGTTAAGGGGGGAGACGTTTGTGGGGCGCAGGTTCGGAGAAGGTGCGTGTGAAGGGGAGACGTTTAGGGAGGAGACGTTTGTGGGGCGCAGGTTCGGAGAAGGTGCGTGTGAAGGGGAGACGTTTAGGGGGGAGACGTTTGTAGGGCGCAGGTTGGGAGAAGGTGCGTATGAAGTTGAGACATTTGTGGGGCGCAAGTTGGGAGAAGGTGCGTGTGAAGGGGAGACGTTTAGGGGGGAGACGTTTGTGGGGCGCAGGTTGAGAGAAGGTGCGTGTGAGGGGGAGATGTTTGGGGGGCGCATGTTGGGAGAAGGTGCGTGTGAAAGGGAGACGTTTATGAGGGAGACGTTTGTGGGGCGCACGTTGGGAGAAGGGGCGTGTGAAGGGGAGACGTTTACGGAGAAGACGTTTGTGGGCCACAGGTTGGGAGAAGGTGCGTGTGAAGGGGAGATGTTTAGGGGGAGACGTTTGTGCGGCGCAGGTTAAGAGAAGGTGCGTGTGAAGGGGAGACGTTTAGGGGGAGACGTTTGTGGGGCGCAGGTTCGGAGAAGGTGCGTGTGAAGGGGAGACGTTTGTGGGGCGCAAGTTGGGAGAAGGTGCGTGTGAAGGGGAGACGTTTAGGGGGGAGACATTTGTCGGGCGCAGGTTGGGAGAAGGTGCGTGTGAAGGGGAGACGTTCAGGGGGGGGGCGTTTGTGGGGAGCAGGTTCGGAGAAGGTGCGTGTGAAGGTGAGACACTTAGGGGGGAGACGTTTGTGGGGCGCAGGTTGGGGGAAGATGCGTGTGAAGGGGAGACGTTTGCGGGGCGCAAGTTGGGAGAAGGTGCGTGTGAAGGGGAGACGTTTAGGGGGGAGACGTTTGTGGGGCGCAGGTTGGGAGAAGGTACATGTGAAGGGGAGACGTTTAGAGGGGAGACGTTTGTTGGGTGCAGGTTGGGAGAAGGTGCATGTGAAGTGGAGACGTTTAGGGGGGAGACGTTTGGTGGGCGCAGGTTGGGAGAAGGTGTGTATGAAGGGAAGACGTTTGGGGGGGAGACGTTTGGGGGGCACATGTTGGGAGAAGGTGCGTATGAAGGGGAGACGTTTAGGGGGGGAGACGTTTGTGGGGCGCAGGTTGGGTGAAGGTGCGTCTGAAGGGGAGATGTTTAGGGGGGAGACGTTTGTCGCGCGGAGGTTGGGAGAAAGTGCGTGTGAAGGGGAGACGTTTAGGGGGGAGACGTTTGTGGGGCGCAGGTTCGGAGAAGGTGCGTGTGAAGGGGAGACGTTTAGGGGGGAGACGCTTGTGGGGCGCAGGTTCGGAGAAGGTGCGTGTGAAGGGGAGACGTTTATGGGGGAGACGTTTGTGGGGCGTAGGTTGGGAGAAGGTACATGTGAAGAGGAGATGTTTAGGGGGGAGACGTTTGTGGGGAACAGGTTGGGAGAAGGTGCATGTGAAGTGGAGATGTTTAGGGGGGAGACGTTCGGTGGGCGCAGGTTGGGAGAAGGTGTGTATGAAGGGGAAACGTTTGGGGGGGAGACGTTTCGGGGGCGTATGTTGGGAGAAGGTGCGTATGAAGGGGAGACATTTAGGGGGGAGACGTTTGTGGGGCGCAGGTTAGGAGAAGGTGCGTGTGAAGGAGAGACGTTTAGGGGGGAGACGTTTGTCGGGTGCAGGTTGGGAGAAGGTGCGTGTGAAGGGGAGACGTTTTGGGGGGAGACGTTTGTGGGGCGCAGGTTCGGAGAAGGTGCGTGTGAAGGGGAGACGTTTCGGGGGGAGACGTTTGTGGGGCGCAGGTTCGGAGAAGGTGCGTGTGAAGGGGAGCCATTTAGGGGGGAGACGTTTGTGGGGCGCAGGTTCGGAGAAGGTGCGTGTGAAGGGGAGACGTTTAGGGGGGAGACGTTTGTAGGGCGCAGGTTGGGAGAAGGTGCGTATGAAGGGGAGACATTTGTGGGGCGCAAGTTGGGAGAAGGTGCGTGTGAAGGGGAGACGTTTAGGGGGGAGACGTTTGTGGGGCGCAGGTTCGGAGAAGGTGCGTGTGAAGGGGATACGTTTAGGGGGAAGACGTTTGTGGGCCGCAGGTTCAGAGAAGGTGCGTGTGAGGGGGAGATGTTTGGGGGGCGCATGTTGGGAGAAGGTGCGTGTGAAAGGGAGACGTTTATGAGGGAGACGTTTGTGGGGCGCACGTTGGGAGAAGGGGCGTGTGAAGGGGAGACGTTTACGGGGAAGACGTTTGTGGGCCGCAGGTTGGGAGAAGGTGCGTGTAAAGGGGAGACGTTTAGGGGGAGACGTTTGTGCGGCGCAGGTTAAGAGAAGGTGCGTGTGAAGGGGAGACGTTTAGGGGGAGACGTTTGTGGGGCGCAGTTTTGGAGAAGGTGCGTGTGAAGGGGAGACGTTTGTGGGGCGCAAGTTGGGAGAAGGTGCGTGTGAAGGGGAGACGTTTAGGGGAAAGACGTTTGTGGGGCGCCTTATGGGAGAAGGTGCATGTGAAGGGGAGACGTTTAGGGGGGAGACATTTGTCGGGCGCAGGTTGGGAGAAGGTGCGTATGAAGGGGAGACGTTTAGGGGGAGACGTTTGTGGGGCCCAGGTTGGAAGAGGGGGCGTGTGAAGGGGAGACGTTTAGAGGGGAGACGTTTGTGGCGCGCAGTTTCGGAGAAGGTGCGTGTGAAGGGGAGACGTTTAGGGGGGGGACGTTTGTGGGGCGCAGGTTAGGAGAAGGTGCGTGTAAAGGGGAGACGTTTAGGGGGGAGACGTTTGTCGGGCGCAGTTTGGGAGAAAGTGCGTGTGAAGGGGAGACGTTTGGAGGGAAGACGTTTGTGGGGCGCAGGTTCGGAGAAGTTGCGTGTAAAGGGGAAACGTTTGAGGGGGAGACATTTGTGGGGCGCACGTTCGGAGAAGGTGCGTGTGAAGGGGAGACGTTTACGGGGTAGACGTTGGTGGGCCGCAGGTTGGGAGAAGGTGCGTGTGAAAGGGAGACATTCAGGGGGAGAAGATTGTGGGGCGCAGGTTAAGAGAAGGTGCGTATGAAAAGGAGACGTTTAGGGGGGGAGACGTTTGTGGGGCGCAGGTTGGAAGAGGGTGCGTGTGAAGGGGAGACGTTTAGGGGGGAGATGTTTCTGGGGCGCAGGTTGGGAGAAGGTTTGTGTGAAAGGGAGACGTTTAGGGGGGAGACGTTTGTGGGGCGCAGGTTGGGAAGGGGTGCGTGTGAAGGGGAGACGTTTAGGGGGGAGACGTTTGTGGGGCGCAGGTTGGGAGAATGTGCGTGTGAAGGGGAGACGTTTAGGGGGGAGACGATTGTGGGGCGCAGGTTCGGAGAAGGTGCGTGTGAAGGGGAGACGTTTTGGGGGGAGACGTTTGTGGGACGCAGGTTCGGAGAAGGTGCGTGTGAAGGGGAGACGTTTTGGGGGGAGACGTTTGTGGGGCGCAGGTTCGGAGAAGGTGCGTGTGAAGGGGAGACGTTTAGGCGGGAGACGTTTGTGGGGCGCAGGTTCGGAGAAGGTGCGTGTGAAGGGGAGACGTTTAGGGAGGAGACGTTTGTGGGGCGCAGGTTCGGAGAAGGTGCGTGTGAAGGGGAGACGTTTAGGGGGGAGACGTTTGTAGGGCGCAGGTTGGGAGAAGGTGCGTATGAAGGGGAGACATTTGTGGGGCGCAAGTTGGGAGAAGGTGCGTGTGAAGGGGAGACGTTTAGGGGGGAGACGGGGCGCAGGTTGAGAGAAGGTGCGTGTGAGGGGGAGACGTTTGGGGGGCGCATGTTGGGAGAAGGTGCGTGTGAAAGGGAGACGTTTATGAGGGAGACGTTTGTGGGGCGCACGTTGGGAGAAGGGGCGTGTGAAGGGGAGACGTTTACGGGGAAGACGTTTGTGGGCCGCAGGTTGGGAGAAGGTGCGTGTGAAGGGGAGACGTTTAGGGGGAGACGTTTGTGCGGCGCAGGTTAAGAGAAGGTGCGTGTGAAGGGGAGACGTTTAGGGGGAGACATTTGTGGGGCGCAGGTTTGGAGAAGGTGCGTGTGAAGGGGAGACGTTTGTGGGGCGCAAGTTGGGAGAAGGTGCGTGTGAAGGGGAGACGTTTAGGGGAAAGACGTTTGTGGGGCGCCTTATGGGAGAAGGTGCATGTGAAGGGGAGACGTTTAGGGGGGAGACATTTGTCGGGCGCAGGTTGGGAGAAGGTGCGTATGAAGGGGAGACGTTTAGGGGGGGAGACGTTTGTGGGGCCCAGGTTGGAAGAGGGTGCGTGTGAAGGGGAGACGTTTAGGGGGGAGACGTTTGTGGCGCGCAGTTTCGGAGAAGGTGCGTGTGAAGGGGAGACGTTTTGGGGGGAGACGTTTGTGGGGCGCAGGTTCGGAGAAGGTGCGTGTGAAGGGGAGACGTTTGTGGGGCGCAAGTTGGGAGAAGGTGCGTATGAAGGGGAGACGTTTAGGGGGGAGACGTTTGTGGGGCGCAGGTTGGGAGAAGGTGCATGTGAAGTGGAGACGTTTAGGGGGGAAACGTTTGGTGGGCGCAGGTTGGGAGAAGGTGCGTATGAAGGGGAGACGTTAGGGGGGGAGACGTTTGGGGGACGCATGTTGGGAGAAGGTGCGTGTGAAGGGGAGACGTTTAGGGGGGAGACGTTTGTGGGCCGCAGGTTGGGAGAAGGTTTGTGTGAAGGGGAGACGTTTAGGGCGGAGACGTTTGTGGGGCGCAAGTTAGGAGAAGGTGCATGTGAAGGGGAGACGTTTAGGGGAGAGACGTTTCTGGGGCGCAGGTTCGGAGAAGGTGCGTGTGAAGGGGAGACGTTTAGGGGGGAGACGTTTGTCGGACGCAGGTTGGGAGAAAGTGCGTGTGAAGGGGAGACGTTTAGGGGGGAGACGTTTGTGGGGCGCACGTTCGGAGAAGGTGCGTGTGAAGGGGAGACGTTTACGGGGTAGACGTTTGTGGGCCACAGGTTCGGAGAAGGTGCGTGTGAAGGGGAGACATTTTGGGGGGAGACGTTTGTGGGGCGCAGGTTTGGAGAATGTGCGTGTGAAGGGGAGACGTTTAGGGGGGAGACGATTGTGGGGCGCAGGTTCGGAGAAGGTGCGTGTGAAGGGGAGACGTTTTGGGGGGAGACGTTTGTGGGGCGCAGGTTCGGAGAAGGTGCGTGTTAAGGGGAGACGTTTAGGGGGGAGACGTTTGTGGGGCGCAGGTTAAGAGAAGGTGCGTATGAAGGGGAGACGTTTAGGGGGGAAGACGTTTGTGGGGCGCAGGTTGGAAGAGGGTGCGTGTGAAGGGGAGACGTTTAGGGGGGAGACGTTTGTGGCGCGCAGTTTCGGAGAAGGTGCGTGTGAAGGGGAGACGTTTAGGGGGTAGACGTTTGTGGGGTGCAGGTTCGGAGAAGGTACGGGTGAAGGGGAGACGTTTAGGGGGAGACGTTTGTGGGGCGCAGGTTCGGAGAAGGTGCGTGTGAAGGGGAGACGTTTGTGGGGCGCAAGTTGGGAGAAGGTGCGTGTGAAGGGGAGACGTTTAAGGGGGAGACGTTTGTGGGGCGCAGGTTGGGAGAAGGTGCATGTGAAGTGGAGACGTTTAGGGGGGAAACGTTTGGTGGGCGCAGGTTGGGAGAAGGTGCGTATGAAGGGGAGACGTTAGGGGGGGAGACGTTTGGGGAGCGCATGTTGGGAGAAGGTGCGTTTGAAGGGGAGTCGTTTAGGGGGGAGACGTTTGTGGGGCGCAGGTTGGGAGAAGGTTTGTGTGAAGGGGAGACGTTTAGGGGGGGGGCGTTTGTGGGGCACAGGCTAGGAGAAGGTGCGTGTGAAGGGGAGACGTTTAGGGGGGAGACGTTTGTGGGGCGCAGGTTGGGAGAAGGTGCGTGAGAAGGGGAGACGTTTAGGGGGGAGACGTTTGTGGGGCGCAGGTTGGGAGAAAGTGCGTGTGAAGGGGAGACGTTTGGAGGGGAGACGTTTGTGGGGCGCAGGTTCGGAGAAGGTGCGTGTGAAGGGGAGACGTTTAGGGGGGAGACGTTTGTGGTGCGCAGTTTCGGAGAAGGTGCGTGTGAAGGGGAGACGTTTAGGGGGTAGACGTTTGTGGGGTGCAGGTTCGGAGAAGGTACGGGTGAAGGGGAGACGTTTAGGGGGAGACGTTTGTGGGGCGCAGGTTCGGAGAAGGTGCGTGTGAAGGGGAGACGTTTGTGGGGCGCAAGTTGGGAGAAGGTGCGTGTGAAGGGGAGACGTTTAGGGGGGAGACGTTTGTGGGGCGAAGGTTGGGAGAAATTGCGTGTGAAGGGGAGACGTTTGGAGGGGAGACGTTTGTGGGGCGCAGGTTCGGAGAAGGTGCGTGTGAAGGGGAGACGTTTAGGGGGGAGACGTTTGTGGCGCGCAGTTTCGGAGAAGGTTCGTGTGAAGGGGAGACGTTTAGGGGGTAGACGTTTGTGGGGTGCAGGTTCGGAGAAGGTACGGGTGAAGGGGAGACGTTTAGGGGGAGACGTTTGTGGGGCGCAGGTTCGGAGAAGGTGCGTGTGAAGGGGAGACGTTTGTGGGGCGCAAGTTGGGAGAAGGTGCGTGTGAAGGGGAGACGTTTAAGGGGGAGACGTTTGTGGGGCGCAGGTTGGGAGAAGGTGCATGTGAAGTGGAGACGTTTAGGGGGGAAACGTTTGGTGGGCGCAGGTTGGGAGAAGGTGCGTATGAAGGGGAGACGTTAGGGGGGGAGACGTTTGGGGAGCGCATGTTGGGAGAAGGTGCGTGTGAAGGGGAGTCGTTTAGGGGGGAGACGTTTGTGGGGCGCAGGTTGGGAGAAGGTTTGTGTGAAGGGGAGACGTTTAGGGGGGGGGACGTTTGTGGGGCGCAGGCTAGGAGAAGGTGCGTGTGAAGGGGAGACGTTTAGGGGGGAGACGTTTGTGGGGCGCAGGTTGGGAGAAGGTGCGTGAGAAGGGGAGACGTTTAGGGGGGAGACGTTTGTGGGGCGCAGGTTGGGAGAAAGTGCGTGTGAAGGGGAGACGTTTGGAGGGGAGACGTTTGTGGGGCGCAGGTTCGGAGAAGGTGCGTGTGAAGGGGAGACGTTTGAGGGGGAGACATTTGTGGGGCGCACGTTCGGAGAAGGTGCGTGTGAAGGGGAGACGTTTACGGGGTAGACGTTTGTGGGCCGCAGGTTGGGAGAAGGTGCGTGTGAAAGGGAGACGTTCAGGGGGAGACGTTTGTGGGGCGCAGGTTAAGAGAAGGTGCGTATGAAGGGGAGACGTTTAGGGGGGGAGACGTTTGTGGGGCGCAGGTTGGAAGAGGGTGCGTGTGAAGGGGAGACGTTTAGGGGGGAGATGTTTCTGGGGCGCAGGTTGGGAGAAGGTTTGTGTGAAAGGGAGACGTTTAGGGGGGAGACGTTTGTGGGGCGCAGGTTGGGAGAAGGTCCGTGAGAAGGGGAGACGTTTAGGGGGGAGACGTTTGTGGGGCGCAGGTTGGGAGAAAGTGCGTGTGAAGGGGAGACGTTTGGAGGGGAGACGTTTGTGGAGCGCAGGTTCGGAGAAGGTGCGTGTGAAGGGGAGACGTTTGAGGGGGATACATTTGTGGGGCGCACGTTTGGAGAAGGTGCGTGTGAAGGGGAGACGTTTACAGGGTAGACGTTTGTGGGCCGCAGGTTGGGAGAAGGTGCGTGTGAAAGGGAGACGTTCAGGGGGAGACGTTTGTGGGGCGCAGGTTAAGAGAAGGTGCGTATGAAGGGGAGACGTTTAGGGGGGGAGACGTTTGTGGGGCGCAGGTTGGAAGAGGGTGCGTGTGAAGGGGAGACGTTTAGGGGGGAGATGTTTCTGGGGCGCAGGTTGGGAGAAGGTTTGTGTGAAAGGGAGACGTTTAGGGGGGAGACGTTTGTGGGGCGCAGGTTGGGAAAAGGTGCGTGTGAAAGGGAGACGTTTAGGGGGGAGACGTTTGTGGGGCGCAGGTTGGGAGAATGTGCGTGTGAAGGGGAGACGTTTAGGGGGGAGACGATTGTGGGGCGTAGGTTCGGAGAAGGTGCGTGTGAAGGGGAGACGTATAGGGGGGAGACGTTTGTGGGGCGCAGGTTCGGAGAAGGTGCGTGTGAAGGGGATACGTTTACGGGGTAGACGTTTGTGGGCCGCAGGTTGGGAGAAGGTGCGTGTGAAAGGGAGACGTTCAGGGGGAGACGTTTGTGGGGCGCAGGTTAAGAGAAGGTGCGTATGAAGGGGAGACGTTTAGGGGGGGAGACGTTTGTGGGGCGCAGGTTGGAAGAGGGTGCGTGTGAAGGGGAGACGTTTAGGGGGGAGACGTTTGTGGCGCGCAGTTTCGGAGAAGGTGCGTGTGAAGGGGAGACGTTTAGGGGGGAGACGTTTGTGGGGCGCATGTTCGGAGAAGGTACGTGTGAAGGGGAGACGTTTAGGGGGAGACGTTTGTGGGGCGCAAGTTGGGAGAAGGTGCGTGTTAAGGGGAGACGTTTAGGGGGGAGACGTTTGTGGGGCGCAGGTTGGGAGAAGGTGCATGTGAAGTGGAGACGTTTAGGGGGGAAACGTTTGGTGGGCGCAGGTTGAGAGAAGGTGTGTATGAAGGGGAGACGTTAGGGGGGGAGACGTTTAGGGGGCGCATGTTAGGAGAAGGTGCGTGTGAAGGGGAGACGTATAGGGGGGAGACATTTGTGGGGCGCAGGTTGGGAGAAGGTGCGTGTGAAGGGGAGACGTTTAGGGGGGAGACGTTTAGGGGGGAGACGTTTGTGGGGCGCAGGTTGGGAGAAGGTGCGTGTGAAGGGGAGACGTTTAGGTGGGAGACGTTTGTCGGGCGCAGGTTGGGAGAAGGTGCGTGTGAAGGGGAGTCGTTTAGGGGGGAGACGTTTGTGGGGCGCATGTTGGGAGAAGGTGCGTGTGAAGAGGAGACGTTTAGGGGGAGACGTTTGGGGGGCGCATGCTGAGAGAAGGTGCGTGTGAAGGGGAGACGTTTAGGGGGGCGCAAGTTGGGAGAAGGTGTATGTGAAGGGGAGACTTTCAGGGGGGAGACGTTTGTGGGGCGCAGGTTGGGAGAAGGTGCGTGTGAAAGGGAGACGTTCAGGGGGGAGACGTTTGTGGGGCGCAGGTTCGGAGAATATGCGTGTGAAGGGGAGACGTTTACGAGGAAGAAGTTTGTGGGTCGCAGGTTGGGAAAAGGTGCGTATGAAGGGGAGACGTTTGTGGGGCGCAAGTTGGGAGAAGGTGCGTGTGAAGGGGAGACGTTTAGGGGGGAGACGTTTGTGGGGCGCAGGTTGGGAGAAGGTGCATGTGAAGTGGAGACGTTTAGGGGGGAGACGTTTCGTGGGCGCAGGTTGGGAGTAGGTGCGTATGAAGGGGAGACGTTTGGGGGTGAGACGTTTGGGGGGCGCATGTTGGGAGAAGGTGCTTATGAAGGGGAGACGTTTGAGCGGGAGACGTTTGTGGGGCGCAGGTTGGGAGAAGGTGCGTGTGAAGGGGAGCCGTTTAGGGGGGAGACGTTTGTGGGGCGCAGGTTGGGAGAAGGTGCGTGTGAAGGGGAGACGTTTAGGGGGGAGACGTTTGTCGGGCGCATGTTGGGAGAAAGTGCGTGTGAAGGGGAGACGTTTTGGGGGGAGACGTTTGTGGGGCGCACGTTCGGAGAAGGTGCGTGTGAAGGGGAGACGTTTACGGGGTAGACGTTTGTGGCCCGCGGGTTGGGAGAAGGTGCATGTGAAGGGGAGACGTTTAGGGGGAGACGTTTGTGGGGCGCAGGTTGGGAGAAAGTGCGTATGAAGGGGAGACGTTTAGGTGGGGAGACGTTTGTGGGGCGCAGGTTGGAAGAGGGTGCGTGTGAAGGGGAGACGTTTAGGGGGGAGACGTTTGTGGCGCGCAGTTTCGGAGAAGGTGCATGTGAAGGGGAGACGTTTAGGGGGGAGACGTTTGCGGGGCGCATGTTCGGAGAAGGTACGTGTGAAGGGGAGACGTTTAGGGGGAGACGTTTCTGGGGCGCAGGTTCGGAGAAGGTGCGTGTGAAGGGGATACGTTTAGGGAGGAGACGTTTGTGGGGCGCAGGTTGGGAGAAGGTGCATGTGAAGTGGAGACGTTTAGGGTGGAAACGTTTGGTGGGTGCAGGTTGGGAGAAGGTGTGTATGAAGGGGAGACGTTAGGGGGGGAGACGTTTGGGGGGCGCATGTTGGGAGAAGGTGCGTGTGAAGGGGAGACGTTTAGGGGGGAGACGTTTGTGGGGCGCAGGTTGGGAGAAGGTGCGTGTGAAGGGGAGATGTTTAGGGGGGAGACGTTTAGGTGGGAGAGGTTTGTGGGGCGCAGGTTAGGAGAAGGTGCATGTGAAGGGGAGACGTTTAGGGGGGAGACGTTTGTGGGGTGCAGGTTGGGAGAAGGTGCGTGTGAAGGGGAGACGTTTAGGTAGGAGACGTTTGTCGGGCGCAGGTTGGGAGAAAGTGCGTGTGAAGGGGAGACGTTTTGGGGGGGGACGTTTGTGGGGCGCAGGTTCGGAGAAGGTGCGTGTGAAGGAGAGACGTTTAGGGGGGAGACGTTTGTGGGGCGCAGGTTCGAAGAAGGTGCGTGTGAAGGGGAGTCGTTTAGGGGGGAGACGTTATTGGGGCGCATGTTGGGAGAAGGTGCGTGTGAAGGGGAGACGTTTAGGGGGGAGACGTTTGGGGGGCGCATGCTGAGAAAAGGTGCGTGTGAAGGGGAGACGTTTAGGTGGGCGCAAGTTGGGAGAAGGTGTATGTGAAGGGGAGACTTTCAGGGGGGAGACGTTTGTGGGGCGCAGGTTGGGAGAAGGTGCGTGTGAAAGGGAGACGTTCAAGGGGGAGACGTTTGTGGGGCGCAGGTTCGGAGAATATGCGTGTGATGGGGAGACGTTTAGGGGGGAGACGGTTGTGGGGCGCAGGTTCTGAGAAGGTGCGTGTGAAGGTGAGACACTTAGGGGGGAGACGTTTGTGGAGCGCAGGTTGGGGGAATGTGCGTGCGAAGGGGAGACGTTTGTGGGGCGCATGTTGGGAGAGGGTGCGTGTGAAGGGGAGACGTTTGTGGGGCGCAGGTTCGGAGAAGGTACGTGTGAAGGGGAGACGTTTAGGGGGAGACGTTTGTGGGGCGCAGGTTCGGAGAAGGTGCATGTGAAGGGGGGAGACGTTTGTGGGGCGCAGGTTGGGAGAAGGTGCGTGTGAAGGGGAGACGTTTAGGGGAGAGACGTTTGTGGGGCGCAGGTTGGGAGAAGGTGCGTGTGAAGTGGAGACATTTAGGGGGGAAACGTTTGGTGGGCGCAGGTTGGGAGAAGGTGCGTATGAAGGGGAGACGTTAGGGGGGGAGACGTTTGGGGGACGCATGTTGAGAGAAGGTGCGTGTGAAGTGGAGACGTTTAGGGGGGAGACTTTTGTGGGGCGCAGGTTGGGAGAAGGTTTGTGTGAAGGGGAGACGTTTAGGGGGGAGACGTTTGTGGGGCGCAGGTCAGGAGAAGGTGCGTGTGAAGGGGAGACATTTAGGGGGGAGACGTTTGTGGAGCGCAGGTTGGGAGAAGGTGCGTGTGAAGGGGAGACGTTTAGGGGGGAGACGTTTGTCAGGCGCAGGTTGGGAGAAAGTGCGTGTGAAGGGGAGACGTTTAGGGGGGAGACGTTTGTAGGGCGCAAGTTCGGAGAATGTGCGTGTGAAGGGGAGACGTTTAGGGGGGAGACGTTTGTGGGGCGCAAGTTCGGAGAAGGTGCGTGTGAAAGGGAGACGTTTAGGGGGGAGACGTTTGTGGGGTGCAGGTTCGGAGAATATGCGTGTGAAGGGGAGACGTTTAGGGGGGAGACGTTTGTGGGGCGCAGGTTGGGGGAAGGTGCGTGTGAAGGGGAGACGTTTGTGGGGCGCAAGATGGGAGAAGGTGCGTGTGAAGGGGAGACGTTTAGGGGGGAGACGTTTGTGGGGCGCAGGTTGGGAGAAGGTACATGTGAAGGGGAGACGTTTAGGGGGGAGACGTTTGTGGGGCGCATGTTGGGAGAAGGTGCGTGTGAAGGGGAGACGTTTGGGGGGGAGACGTTTGTGGGGCGCAGGTTGGGAGAAGGTGTGTATGAAGGGGAGATGTTTAGGGGGGAGACGTTTGTGGGGCGCAGGTTGGGAGAAGGTGCGTGTGAAGGGGAGACGTTTGGGGGGGAGACGTTTGTGGGGCGCAGGTTAGAAGAAGGTGCGTGTGAAGGGGAGATGTTTAGGGGGGAGACGTTTGTGGGGCGCAGGTTGGGAGAAGGTGCGTGTGAATGGGAGACGTCTAGCGGGGAGACGTTTGTGGGGTGCAGGTTCGGAGAATATGCGTTTGAAGGGGAGACGTTTAGGGGGGAGACGTTTGTGGGGCGCAGGTTGGGGGAAGGTGCGTGTGAAGGGGAGATGTTTGTGGGGCGCAAGTTGGGAGAAGGTGCGTGTGAAGGGGAGATGTTTAGGGGGGAGACGTTTGTGGGGCGCAGGTTGGGAGAAGGTACATGTGAAGGGGAGACGTTTAGGGGGGAGACGTTTGTGGGGCGCATGTTGGGAGAAGGTGCGTGTGAAGGGGAAACGTTTAGGGGGGAGACGTTTGTGGGGCGCAGGTTGGGAGAAGGTGCATGTGAAGTGGAGACGTTTAAAGGGGAGACGTTCGGTGGGCGCAGGTTGGGAGAAGGTGCATATGACGACGAGACGTTTGGGGGGGAGACGTTTGTGGGGCGCATGTTGGGAGAAGGTGCGTGTGAAGGGGAGACGTTTAGGGGGGAGACGTTTGTGGGGCGCAGGTTCGGAGAAGGTGCGTGTGAAGGGGAGACGTTTAGGGGGGAGACGTTTGTGGAGCGCAGGTTGGGAGAAGGTGCGTGTGAAGGGGAGACGTTTAGGGGGGAGATGTTTGTGGGGCGCAAGTTCGGAGAAGGTGCGTGTGAAGGGGAGACGTTTAGGGGGGAGACGTTTGTGGAGCGCAGGTTGGGAGAAGGTGCGTGTGAAGGGGAGACGTTTAGGGGGGAGAAGTTTGTGGGGCGCAAGTTCGGAGAAGGTGCGTGTGAAGGGGAGACGTTTAGGGGGGAGACGTTTGTGGAGCGCAGGTTGGGAGAAGGTGCGTGTGAAGGGGAGACGTTTAGGGGGGAGAAGTTTGTGGGGCGCAGGTCAGGAGAAGGTGCGTGTGAAGGGGAGGGAGACGTTTGTGGAGCGCAGGTTGGGAGAAGGTGCGTGTGAAGGGGAGACGTTTAGGGGGGAGACGTTTGTCAGGCGCAGGTTGGGAGAAAGTGCGTGTGAAGGGGAGACGTTTAGGGGGGAGTCGTTTGTGGGGCGTAGGTTCGGAGAAGGTGCGAGTGAAGGGGAGACGTTTAGGGGGGAGACGTTTGTAGGGCGCAAGTTCGGAGAATGTGCGTGTGAAGGGGAGACGTTTAGGGGGGAGACGTTTGTGGGGCGCAAGTTCGGAGAAGGTGCATGTGAAGGGGGGAGATGTTTGTGGGGCGCAGGTTGGGAGAAGGTGCGTGTGAAGGGGAGACGTTTAGGGGGGAGATGTTTGTGGGGCGCAAGTTCGGAGAAGGTGCGTGTGAAGGGGAGACGTTTAGGGGGGAGACGTTTGTGGAGCGCAGGTTGGGAGATGGTGCGTGTGAAGGGGAGACGTTTAGGGGGGAGAAGTTTGTGGGGCGCAGGTCAGGAGAAGGTGCGTGTGAAGGGGAGGGAGACGTTTGTGGAGCGCAGGTTGGGAGAAGGTGCGTGTGAAGGGGAGACGTTTAGGGGGGAGACGTTTGTCAGGCGCAGGTTGGGAGAAAGTGCGTGTGAAGGGGAGACGTTTAGGGGGGAGTCGTTTGTGGGGCGCAGGTTCGGAGAAGGTGCGAGTGAAGGGGAGACGTTTAGGGGGGAGACGTTTGTAGGGCGCAATTTCGGAGAATGTGCGTGTGAAGGGGAGACGTTTAGGGGGGAGACGTTTGTGGGGCGCAAGTTCGGAGAAGGTGCATGTGAAGGGGGGAGATGTTTGTGGGGCGCAGGTTGGGAGAAGGTGCGTGTGAAGGGGAGACGTTTAGGGGAGAGACGTTTGTGGGGCGCAGGTTGGGAGAAGGTGCGTGTGAAGTGGAGACGTTTAGGTGGGAAACGTTTGGTGGGCGCAGGTTGGGAGAAGGTGCGTATGAAGGGGAGACGTTAGGGGGGGAGACGTTTGGGGGGTGCATGTTGAGAGAAGGTGCGTGTGAAGTGGAGACGTTTAGGGGGGAGACTTTTGTGGGGCGCAGGTTGGGAGAAGGTTTGTGTGAAGGGGAGACGTTTAGGGGGGAGACGTTTGTGGGGTGCAGGTCAGGAGAAGGTGCGTGTGAAGGGGAGACATTTAGGGGGGAGACGTTTGTGGAGCGCAGGTTGGGAGAAGGTGCATGTGAAGGGGAGACATTTAGGGGGGAGACGTTTGTCAGGCGCAGGTTGGGAGAAAGTGCGTGTGAAGGGGAGACGTTTAGGGGGGAGTCGTTTGTGGGGCGCAGGTTCGGAGAAGGTGCGAGTGAAGGGGAGACGTTTAGGGGGGAGACGTTTGTAGGGCGCAAGTTCGGAGAATGTGCGTGTGAAGGGGAGACGTTTAGGGGGGAGACGTTTGTGGGGCGCAAGTTCGGAGAAGGTGCGTGTGAAAGGGAGACGTTTAGGGGGGAGACGTTTGTGGGGTGCAGGTTCGGAGAATATGCGTGTGAAGGGGAGACGTTTAGGGGGGAGACGTTTGTGGGGCGCAGGTTGGGGGAAGGTGCGTGTGAAGGGGAGACGTTTGTGGGGCGCAAGATGGTAGAAGGTGCGTGTGAAGGGGAGACGTTTAGGGGGGAGACGTTTGTGGGGCGCAGGTTGGGAGAAGGTACATGTGAAGGGGAGACGTTTAGGGGGGAGACGTTTGTGGGGCGCATGTTGGGAGAAGGTGCGTGTGAAGGGGAGACGTTTGGGGGGGAGACGTTTGTGGGGCGCAGGTTGGGAGAAGGTGGGTGTGAAGGGGAGATGTTTAGGGGGGAGACGTTTGTGGGGCGCAGGTTGGGAGAAGGTGCGTGTGAAGGGGAGACGTTTGGGGGGGAGACGTTTGTGGGGCGCAGGTTAGAAGAAGGTGCGTGTGAAGGGGAGATGTTTAGGGGGGAGACGTTTGTGGGGCGCAGGTTGGGAGAAGGTGCGTGTGAATGGGAGACGTTTAGAGGGGAGACGTTTGTGGGGTGCAGGTTCGGAGAATATGCGTTTGAAGGGGAGATGTTTAGGGGGGAGACGTTTGTGGGGCGCAGGTTGGGGGAAGGTGCGTGTGAAGGGGAGACGTTTGTGGGGCGCAAGTTGGGAGAAGGTGCGTGTGAAGGGGAGACGTTTAGGGGGGAGACGTTTGTGGGGCGCAGGTTGGGAGAAGGTACATGTGAAGGGGAGACGTTTAGGGGGGAGACGTTTGTGGGGCGCATGTTGGGAGAAGGTGCGTGTGAAGGGGAGACGTTTAGGGGGGAGACGTTTGTGGGGCGCAGGTTGGGAGAAGGTGCATGTGAAGTGGAGACGTTTAAAGGGGAGACGTTCGGTGGGCGCAGGTTGGGAGAAGGTGCATATGACGACGAGACGTTTGGGGGGGAGACGTTTGTGGGGCGCATGTTAGGAGAAGGTGCGTGTGAAGGGGAGACGTTTAGGGGGGAGACGTTTGTGGGGCGCAAGTTCGGAGAAGGTGCGTGTGAAGGGGAGACGTTTAGGGGGGAGACGTTTGTGGAGCGCAGGTTGGGAGAAGGTGCGTGTGAAGGGGAGACGTTTAGGGGGGAGATGTTTGTGGAGCGCAGGTTGGGAGAAGGTGCGTGTGAAGGGGAGACGTTTAGGGAGGAGACGTTTGGGGGGCGCATGTTGAGAGAAGGTGCGTGTGAAGGGGAGACATTTAGGGGGGCGCAAGTTGGGAGAAGGTGTATGTGAAGGAGAGACTTTCAGGGGGGAGACGTTTGTGGGGCGCAGGTTGGGAGAAGGTGCGTGTGAAAGGGAGACGTTTTGGGGGGAGACGTTTGTGGGGCGCAGGTTGGGAGAAGGTGCATGTGAAGTGGAGATGTTTAAAGGGGAGACGTTCGGTGGGCGCAGGTTGGGAGAAGGTGCATATGACGACGAGACGTTTGG